GTGATCACCATCATCACTCGCGCATTAATCATGAATAGATAATTACCTATTCATTTATCCATGTTTATATTCATTTTTGTATTCGTTATTCATTTGTGGTCGTAAGAAAGACTTACGGATTCGAAAAAGACCACCAGTCTGAAGAAGACCTTAGTTGTTTAGATTTAGTGGGAATAGCAGAAGAATCGCGGTGATAGCACAATCTCACTCCATACACAAGCCAATAGTCTCATACCCACATCCTACCGCATAACTGAAAAGTGGGGTTTTACAACTGCCTGGCCTTGGAAATTCTGGGTAGGAGACAACCACATCAGATAAACGTCCGCTAGCAAAGAAGGCGATCACAATTAAATGTACAGTACTATTCGATACTTCTTCAAATCTTTTTTATTTACTTACTATTTGTCGAAAAAGTAAACATCACGAAGATGATTATGATGAAAACCAAAACTGCATATTTATCCATCAAACCTTCATGCTTCACATCCAAAATGTTTGAAACGATGGTATCATCCCACTGTTAAGTTACACACTGCTTTCTGCATGACGTCATTTTGTCACGCCAGGAATATGAGCGATCGTTACTGGATCGGACCGGATCGGATCTCGGACCGGATCGGATCACGGACCGGATCAAGGATCGGATCAAGGATTGGATCACAGATCGGATCACGGATCGAATCATGTTATTTGAAATTTGAAATTTTACGCGACAAGTCAAAATTAGGTCTGGGTGACATAATGGGGAGCAGGCTTCACCATCACGTATTATTTCCGCGGTCAGTTGAGAAAATCACGAAATAGTTCTCAGTTGCTTCTTCTCCTTGAGCTTTTTCCGTTTTCCGTGAGGCTCGTTGTAAGCCATAGTTCGCAAACTGATCGACCTAAGTGCTAAGATACGTGACCTCCCAAGAATCGCAACGAAATTTCACCAACTAAAGGTTATTTCAATACATTTGGTTTGTTACGCATTCCTCTCACTAACATCTGCGTTTCGCGATTTTTTGAGACCAGCGGAGGGGCTTCATTGCCGCTCAGATCGAAGACAAATCGAAAAAATTCCGAGAACCCGTTTGTATTTTTGACGAAAACCGAAAACCAAATGCTAAATCGCGTAATATCCGTAAATCGAAATGAACAAGAAAACCGAAAGACCAAAGTTTTTTTGGCACAAAAACCGAAAATCGGATATTTAAAATAGCCAAAATCGTCAAAACGAAAGCCTCAATGCCCCCACGCTGATTGAAGAATGAAACGTACCTCGATCTCTCTCGTCTTCGTCCATGTCGGCACTTCACAACACTCCTCGACACAGCGGTGAAAGGACTACATGGAGTTTTGGGGCAAAAAAAACAACAACAACGAAAAAAAAAACCAGCAACAACAACAACAACAACAATAACAAAACAATAAAATGGGCCTGCGCTCCATTATGTCACGCAGACTCTGTTTTGGCTTGTTACGCACATCTCTACTTTTCATTGAAATAATCTTAATTTTTTCACACTCCCTTTTTTTTAACCGTTCATGACTTTGTAAATGATTTGATGGTTTAAATTTTGAAAACTCTCCCCCACTTC